AAATAAGCAAACTTCCCACAACAACAAACTTCCCTAGAGCTGGGAATGTGCTCGTTGCATGATGTGCAGCTGGGGCAGAGGAGCAGCTGTGTGCTGGAGCAGGGGTGCCTGTGCCCAGGAATGGCTTCACTCCCACCTGGGTGTGCCCAGGCTGAGGCTCCATCTGCTCCCTGTCTCCATGCCCAGCCCAGTCATACCAAACCTTTTCAGACCCTCGTGGAAGTCAGATCTGACAGTATCACCCACTAATCCTTCAGAGAAATGGATTATAAAGGAGCTTCTGACAACACTCAGATCCAGAACAAAACATTTTAAAATATAAAGAAGTCCCAAAAAGCCCTCAGGCGCTTACTGTGCCTCTCTGTTCATCCCTCTGAAACTGTCAAGATAGGTGGAGCCAAGAAAAAGAGAGCAGAGTTCTTACAAATAGGATTGCACTTTTTATTAAATAAAAAAAAGGAAAAGAAGGTCAAGTGAACCACATCAAAGCACTCTGATATTGCAGCCACTGCTCTCATTCCCTTCAAGGAATGCTTTGGCTAGAACAGCGTGCAGAAATGATCCTCTTCCATCCCTGCCTTCCAACATAACCTCTACAACCTGCAGAAAGCTAGCACCAAAGCAACACCCTTTAGGCTTCAGTCTTATGGGTTTAAAATGAGTTAAATTCAGTTATTTATAGACCAATTCTTCAGATTTGAAGTTGTTGGAAGGGAAAAGACAAAAGAGATCTAGTTGCTCCTTTACTATTTAATGTCCTTCTTCAGCCAAAGTGCCTAAAAATGTAAAAAATCTATTACTGTACCAAAGAAGTTACATATAAATAAAGGTGGACAATTCACTGCAGTAGTCCATGACACGAGCATAAAGCAGAATTATTTTGAAAGGAAAATCCTTTCTAGGACTCCTCCAACTAGAGTGCCTTTTCTTGCATCTCTGCCACATTAAACTTACTTCTCTCTCCTCCAGCAGAGCACGTCTCTATTTCTGCATTGTCATTCCCAGGGCAGACACCTGGACTGCTGCAGAAGGAGATTTTTATCATGGGAAGCACAAACTGACTACCTCGCTTCCCTAGGATGACAATTGCTTCTTTACTCTCCTTCTCCTCCAGATTGTTAACACTCTCTAATATGTGTATTATTCAATCATCAGCAGCAAAGAAAACAACTAAACCAGCTGCAAAGCCCAAGACAAAACACTGGAGACACAGAGAGAACAGCTCCTCTAAGGCTGAGATAGGAAACTGTAAACACTACCGAAATTTCAAGCAAATTTACTTTTATTCCCTTCAACATGGGCAGTTAACTAGTTAAATTCAAATCCAGGTCTGAACTCCATGAGACAAGACCCTTGGGAAGGTAGAGAATTTCTGCCACGGGTCACAATATAACTCCCAGGCTGAGAAGAAAGGTTTTATTAACTGCACTCTGATAAACAGGCTCAAACAAGGGAAAGCAGAGGGGCTGGTAACAGGAATGGGAACAAAAGACAAAAAAAACAAGGCAGATTCCAAGAAAACTTACACTCTTTCCTCCTTACAGACATTCCCATATATTTCTAAAAAGATTAAATCTAACCATGGAAAACAGGATCTGCGGAACTTGAGAAGAAATAAATTATTTGGGAAGGGGTGGGAAAGGAAGAGGGAAAAAATCCTTACCAACGGACTGGTCTTACTGTGCACTTTTCCAGGAGACCAAGAATTGCTTCTGATGCAGCAGCATTCAGCCCTGAGAAGTCAGAGAGAGCAAAAAGGCAGGGGAGGTAGGAGGAGAGAAGGGAGGAGAGAGGAGGAAAGGGGAGGGGAGAAGAAGAAAGGGGTGGAGAGATGAGGAAAGGGGAGGGGAGAGCATGTACACACTGCCTGTCCGTTGAGCCCTAACTTTGATTTTGGGAAAGAAAAGAACAAAGCTACTTGTAAATCCAGCTGGGTATTGTTTTGCAATGGCCCAAGATGATAAAGGAAGAAGGTCTGAGGAGGACCAGTGGACCCACTAGTCAGGAGGAAGAAATGTGTGTCCCACATGTGTCTGTTTAGAGAACCTGGAATGCCCAGCATACTTTTTGCTCCAAAAGAGAGGTCATGCTAAAACTTAGAGTCAAACAGGTTGCAAGAGTTGCAATCAAATCCATCAGAGCAATTAGTGAAAGAGGGAACATAAAACTGTGCCAGCCATTCCCTCACCAGCCCAACCAACCCACCAGTACATTCCAGTCCCACAATGTCATCAAAAGTTAGCTGAATTACAATTTTAGTGCCTGAAGGGAGAATGGGAGGGGAGCACTCACTGTTTCTACACACCACCTCAGCACCGTATCTCTGTGGGACTGGCATGGAAAATGAAAAAGCAACTTCTCATCCTCCAGGATATCAAATTTCTCATTTCCCATAAGCCATGCCAATTTCTAGAAATGTGCTGCATAGCTACCCAATTTGTAAACCTTTATTCCCTTGAGCTGGAAATTTTGCTTCTGGTTAGCTGTCTACCATCCTCAGTCAGATGCTTTCCTGGACCCAGAAGCCTCCTGAGCTCACAGGAGAGCCTCAAGTCTCGCACACATGCAGAACCCGGGGAGCTCTTCCAGCTGCATCGTGGCTGCAGAGAATGATGCAGCAAATGGATGACACAGCTCTGTGGAATCCTGACTCCACAGATCCGCAGTGAGGCACAGGAAGGGCTCAGCTGACCCCTTACCTTTGACTGGCTACTCCCCTCCTGGCAAAGGTTGACTTTAATCCAAAAATTGAGGAAGATCCCAAATGGTGCCAAGGGATGAGACAGCACCAGAGACACTACAGAGCTTTTCAGGTCTGCCCCTGAAAAGCTGACTCCTGTGAAGCTCTCCTCTGCTCCAGATCCACAGAAAACCAGACAGGCTATTCTTGCATCTCACTTTTAAGCAAGCTCTTAGCTGCTGCAGGAAAAGACCTAACTTCATACAGCTCCAAAATAACACAAAAATTGACCCTCTTACTGTCACAGCAACATGAGTCACTGGAGACTCCCAGGTTTACACACTGCCCTTATGGCTCAAGCAAATTACTGTCAACTTGATCCAGCACACAGAGCCCCTGTGGCAGATGCTTATCTTAAAAAATGCAAACACTCCAACGCTTCCCTGTGGCTACCAGCCTGCCAGGCTCTTCCTGGCCCTTCTCAGAACACAATCCCTCCCATCCTGGCCCCATGCCCTGCTCCCAGCACTGCCATCCCATAGACTAGGAACAAACCCAGAAACACACCACAGGGTGAAAATGAACCTTTTCCTTACAGAGAGGAAAAAATAAAATATAACCATATATTATTCCCCTTCCTCCACAAAAAGCCACAAGCCCAGTGGGTCCGCAAGCCCATCCCCAGAGCAATTCACAAAGATTAGTGCAGCTACATTAATTCATCTGGAAAGGATTTTCATCACCTAGTCTCTTTCCTCGCCTCTTGTGCTGTTTCAAAAATAGCTCTGGCTTGTTTGCTGCACTGCCCGTGTCAGTCTGATTTTCTGCCTGGCTGGATGTGCACAGACAGGAGCCCTCTGGACACCCCCACCCAGATCTGTGCATCCCTGCACAGCCAGCCAGACACCAAGCACAGCCCCCTCCCTCACAGGCCGTGCTGGAAAGCTGCTTGTTTTCAGAAGCTTTGTGCTCTATGAAGGCTGTGAAGGGGCTGGAGAACACAGCACAGCCCTTCTGGAGGTCAAAAACAAGGCAGAAAAGCACAGAAGTACTAACATTGATCTGTGTAAAAGCTTCAAGTAAGGGCCTGCCCTGGGATGAAAATACTTTTGAGATATGAGTGCATTTATCAAATGACCTAAGGTCATTTGGCTGTGTGCTGTTAGTGCTTCTGTCCATTAAAGACAAACCATCCCTCCCACAGGCCTTGAGAACTGCTCTCCACAACTGCCAGGAAGGGAACAGGTAAAGAAGGTGCAGATGTGCAGAAATTCTGGAACAAGCCACTCTTCAAAAAAACCCCTCAGGTAAACTCTTGAAATACGAGAAGCTTCTGAAAGAGATTTTTTCCTACTAGTACTTTTTTATCACTGGGTTTTCCTGAACAGCTTTTCTTTTTAGAATAAATCAGCTTGCTGGAGCCATTTCACAAATCCCAGATTAATTCCATTCCAATCTGGCATTCTTCCCAAACCCAGTAATCTTAGGCTCAGCCTTCAAGACCCAGCTCATCAGCTGTGAGCTGCCTTTCTGAAGTATTTCTAAATGAAACTCTCTCAGCATGCCATGACTCAGGAACACTGGTTACCATGAATTAAAGATTTCTACAAGGAAAAATGCAGCACAAAGAAATCCTGATTGCTTATTCTGTGCATGTTCCTATACAGCTACAAACTCTAATATGCATTAGCTATCTTATCACTTAATATAAAAATAAATTAGTACCTATTGACATTTCTGTATGAAGTGTTCCCCAATTATCTATCTGCTAAGAAACTCTCTGAAATTTAAGAGGAGGAAAAAACCCATGTACCTTTTCCAGCAGTCACCAGAGGATGAAGATACCATTAAAAAGAGAAGCCTCTCAGGCATATAACCTCTTGTTACAGGTTTCTGCTTCCAAATGCAGTGCTCCATGTATATTAACAGGGCAGCACAAAGCTCACCATACTGCAACAAATTAGCACCTTAACACACACTGTATGAAAATTAATTGTTATCTGACACCTAAGGACCTCTTCCATTTCAACAGCAATCCAACAAACCGTGCAAAGAACTGGAACAGACTGCCTGGGGAAATTGTGGAGTCCAATCACTCAGGTCATTAATATCAACATCAGAAATGAATGGGTATTTCTCATCTCTGCCTTGGGGCAGAGATTAGAAATAGATGACTGCCCAAGATCCCATTCTGGTCCTGACCTCCTGATCATTTTTAGAATTTCTTTTTCTGAGTCATTACTCCTTGCATCTGCTTACTTCTAGCAACCCCTCTTAGTTTTCACTCCTACTAAGATCACAGAAATGAGGTTTTTCTTACCCATCCTCCTTGCTGAATGATATAATCTGCAGAATAATCTTCTAGGTATGTCACCCCAAAGTTCACAAGGGCACTCAGTGGTTCCTGGCCCCGTCTGGTCAGCTCCATCAGAAATTGTTGTAACAGAACCAGGGGCACCAAGACCTTAAAAAAAAAATTAAAAAAAGAGTGTGAATAAATACAGAAAGCATTATCTACTTTACAGCTAGAACAGAATTCATGTGCCACAGAAAAGGTCTGAGTCTTCAAGTCCAAATGTACCAGGGACTACACACTTCATTTCTGAGAAGACACAAGGCAAACACACAATAAAATGCACTAAAAAGGAAGCACTTAATCTGCTAAGGAAAAACCCACAGTCTAATTGAATTAGACTAAGAGAATTTCACATTCAGAATTAATATAAGAGAATTTCACAGAACAGCACTGCAGTGTTTTCTTAAGCCCCACTTTTTCCCAGCACAGGGTTCAGGTAGAGAACAATTTCACAGAACAGCACTGCAGTGTTTTCTTAAGCCCCACTTTTTTCCTAGCACAGGGTTCAGGTACAGAAGCAGAACACGTCCAAAACTTGCTACCCCAGAAGTGGAAAGACACAACATCATAAATAGCTGAAAGGGATATGCATCCACATGCAAACACATTCCTGAATAGGGACACTGCTCTAGACAGTCTCTTTGGAAGTTCACACTTAGCTTTGAGGCAGGACAGAAACAAACACCTCCACCCAGCAGCTCAGCATTACAAACATGTTTAAAATGACAAGCATAAAGCCCTTTCCATGTCAAACTCTCCCTCTGATGCCAAATTTAACACGGAGAGATTTTCCTCCCTCATTTCCTACTCCCATTCCTCTTTAGAAACCTTTTAACTGAATGCTCAGCCTTAACCTAAATTGCTCTGGAAGATGCAAGACTGTGAATCCACCTCCTTCACATTATACGGTTCTAGACACTTCCTTCTGAAATTATGGTTTTGTTTACCCAGACAACATGCAGTTGAACTTTTAAACTCTAAACTTATTCTCACAGAGCATGCAAGTGGCCCTCTGGGCTTTGTTCATATGCAGCACCTCGCCAAGGTCGGGAAACTGGCATGAACTGAAGTCATTAGCATCTGAAAAAGCATTATTATGACACAAGAGAAAAATATTTGTTTTACTGCATTTTAATTGAGGCAAGTGCACTGCACATCTATTCACTGTGCAGACTGGAATGCTGTTTCCCAGCTGCACAAGGGAGATGAAGGCTCTGCTACTGCTCATACTCAACTCCTAATGCCTCATTCCCTCCCCAGTCTCTTCCCCCATCAGCCTGGTTTTCTTTTCAGTAAATATCCTGCACTACTATTACCAGGAATCACACCTTAGTGTGCAAAGCTGGAGGAAGATAATAGGCAAAGTAAGCTGAAATTGAGATTTGTGCTAAATTGATGGTGGCATCACACTGAGATTGACTACTAAAACCAGACAGGGCCTAAAAAATGCCCATGATCTGATAAATTTAAGATGCTTCAGCTGATTAACAAAGGAGTCCAAGAGTGTGGCAGACAGGTTATATCACAGACAGGTAGAGAAATTATAAAAGAAAGGCCTCATAAGATCAGGTCTAAATTAATAGCTGGCCTGTCAAGTGCAGCTGAGTACTTTGCAAGTTCCCACGTGAAAACAATCTTGGTATAAAAGGTTTGTTAACACAACAACCAATTCTTGAGGAGAAAAACAACTAGCACCTGCATAAACACCCATGAGAATCAGTGAAGAAAATATGTAAACAATTCAAGAACAGAGGTTTGATAGACAAGTAAAATATCTCTTACTAACCAATCAAAAGAAAAAGCTGTTAACCAATCAAATTTGCACACAAGGCCTATAAAAACTGGATAAAATGAGTTGTGTGAATAAAGAACTGGCTTTTCCTGCGTGAAGAACATGGAGTCTCAGCTGACTTACTACAACAAGGTTATAGGACTGTTGCTCTGTGCTGAACAGTTAACACTTCACTAGGGACATCATGGTGCCAGAAGTTTAAAAGTGCTTGAATTTTAAAAGTGTTGGGGTTTTTGAGGTTCTTCCAATTAATCCCATCTCAGAGGCAGAAGAGGTGCAAGATCACAGTGCACAGATACAAGGAGGAGGTCAAGATGAGGTGTCAAGAGGAATCAAAAAACTCAAGCTGTTAAAGCTAGGGATCTTTCAGAGGCTTTGGGCACACCCACATAACTCTACAGCAGCATGAACTGAGATCTCAAAATATTTGACATTTAATGAGGCTGAAGGCAAAAGAAACAAAGGCAAGGAAGGGCTGCTTGGGAAATGAAGGGAGCTAAAATGCTGACATAGTGAATATGATTGTCGCCTTCTCCCTTTGCCAACTTGATGCCTAATCCACCCTTTCACCCCAAATTCAGCAAGCCTCTCCAGGGCTCAGAGTGAGGGACAAACTCAAACTCCAACATCCAGTCCCACACAGACCAACAAACACAGCCCAACTTTCCCTTCCTGCTGAAATTTCTGCCACTCCTGCCTCTGAGACCAGCAGGAACAGGAGCAGGTTTGCACGAGACCGGCCCTAAATTCACAAAACAAATCACCTCACAGTACTTCCATGTAAGTTAACACCACCTCTGTGTACAGAAGTGCAGCTGTGTGAACAGTGGTGAGATTTAAGTAGAACAAAGTAAAAATACAGCCTTTGCAATTCAAAGCAACTGCAAGTCCCTCCACCAGGATGCCTGGGAAGGAATGCTGGGGGCTATTTATATTTTGACTGAAGAAAAGCACACACAGAAAATAGCTGGCAGGAGAAAACCTCTAGGGAATCATTATAAAACCCACTTTGCTGTCAGCAGATAGCTGATTGTGTAAATGAAACACTTTTGTCCACTACAGTATTGCAATCCTATTGTACCATATTACAAACTTAAATGTACACAAAAAAAGAGCCAAAGACAGTTCAGAGGCTTTGAGGAAGCTGTATTTTTTTGAGGAAGCTATATCCAAAATTATTGCAGTTCTGTGTACGTTTTGACTATTTCAACTTAAAATGAATCCAATTCTTCATATGATTATTTCTTATATTTTTGTTGCACTATTCTTTGCTCCCAATAATCAGTAAGAATGGGACACTGGGATGACTGCTACCCTACTCACCAGTTCAACTGGCTCTCCATACCAGTATCTGTTATCCTTTCAGATGATGCACAACACTGGGATTATGTATTTTGGATATATGTATATAATACTCATTTTTAAGCAAAAAGTGTAAAATACTCAGTGCAGTATTTAAATTTTTTTATTATATTCATTTTATTATAGAAATTCAATTTGCCCTGTCTGAGGTGGTTTGGAATTTATTTTTTTTTTTTAATGAGAGCCTTATTTCAAATAAAAGATGAAGACCCTTGTCCTTTACAGAATTCAACATCAACATGTTTTTCTGACAGCTTCTTAAGAGTAAAAATTAAGCTGAGCTGAGATGGCAGGAAAGGTATCTAGATTTCTTCTGTTACAAAACACAATTCTGATTAAGATGATAAAGGAAATTAAAAGGAAATGAAACCAACACAAATGTTTTGCATCTCCCCAAAACAAGGATTATTGAAGGAACTGCTGGGCATTCCTGGAGCTCCAAGCTACCAGAAAAACAATACAAACAGATTGTCTGTATTGCACAGATGCTGTGCTGGGGTACAAAACTTCCACTCAGGTTTGCTTTTATGGCATTTTCATATGCACTATGTGTTTTGCAGCAGCAGATGTTACAGGCAAGCAGAGCTGATGACAAAGATGTTCTGGATGATGCTCTCCACCACAGCTGATGGGGACTGAAATCCAGGAGCCCCAGGGGCCGCAGGAATGCAGCAGCAATGAAGGCTGGATCACAAAGCCCCAAATGCAGCCCACTCATCCAGCCAGGGCTGCACCTTCAGGAGGTGGGGACCCAAAGAACATTGCCCTGAGAAGCCCCATGCACCTCCTCCCTTGCCAGCTGAGCCACAATGACTGGTTTTATGCTTGGTTTTAGCTTTCACCAGCTGAAAAGTGAAATGTGCTAGCTTAAGCCACCTTCTTGATAATCAGATTTCATGGTTGTTTAAACCAAAATGCTGTGAATCACAAGATGACAAATTGAAAGAGCACACACATAAAGCAATGATAATTGCTGGAGCCATGGGCAGTAACTTGTCATGCAATGTTTATTAAACTGCTTTACAAGGGCCCACACCCTTGGTTAGATGAACACTTTCTGAAGTAAGCAGGGAAATCTAGTCAGGAAAAAAATGTAAAGAGGGGGGTAAAAGATTTCTTGTTCTATTTTAATTTTAAATTTAAGACTACATTTTAACACTCAAATTGTGACTACATTTGCAAGTAGTTATTTCATTCTTTCATTCTTTTTTTGATGCCCACTGAACCCACCAGAGAATGATTACAGTGATGAATTCAAATGATTAATGAAAGATGAACCTGGGAAGAGTAATCTACTCATTCTACATTAAAAGTCATTCAAGATAATTCATTTATAGATTTGCATTTTGTTTAAAAAAGAAGATTCCTATCATTTCAGATAACTACTCTTGAAACCAGGTAGGAACACCATCCCTGCGTTTTCTGAACAATTTAAATATCATGAAGATGTTGTCAATTTTTATTTTCACCATGATCAGCACTCTTTTTTACATTTATTTTAAACCTGACATTGGAGCAGAGAAAGAGTAGAGAAGTGTTATGAAAAAATCGCCTCAGATTTCATTCCAAAACTGCTGCAGGAATTAACCTCTCTTGGAAATTTAAGAAAAATAAGTCAAGCAACATGTCTAACGTTTCATTTTACCAAACTAAAGGAAGGTTGACCTAACACTTCCATTCAGTAACTTCTAGCTAAATTATCTATAAAACTACGACTACGTGCACATCTACCACTCTGAGAGTGCAATTTATTTCATACTAAAACCAAGTTCTTTCTATTTCTGGCCCTCTGAGAAGCAACACTGTAGCTAGTACAAACAATATGGACACCAAGGAGACACAAGATACATCCAAGTCACTGATCTGGTACCTTGTTCCACCCACTGGCATGAGCAGATGCCTCCTGCGTGCGCTCCCGATATTCCTGATATGTCACCGGCCTGCAGAAGTTAAACCAACACTGAAAGTTATAAAAGGAAACAAAAGAACATGAATAAAAGAAAGTTCCCAGTTTCCAGAGAACAAAATATTTGCACATGTATTACAGCAAGTCATTTTCAAGAGCTAACAAGTCTTGTGCTTCAGGACAGAAAACACCAGCACCAGACAGGTCAGGAAGGCATCACCTTTCTCCCACTTACACACTTTGATATAACTGGTGAATTTCCTAATAATTTGATACTCTACAACTTAAAAGACATTAGATAAGTAGGTCCTCTGATATGCTAAAAGATTTCTAAGCTCTTGCATATGTTTTTTCATAATCTAGGATTTTAAAGACAGAAAATTCCGCAAAGAAATTCATATCTGAGCTAGAGGCCAATGCAGAGAAATATTCTGTCACCAATACAGGCTATGGACTAACACAGACTATTTGACTGCATTAACATTATTAGAGTTGAAACCTTTATTTGCAAGAAACAGCACTTTTGATCACAAAACCCCTTCATACTTCAGTAGATACCTCTAGTGTAGATTTGTCACATCTCCACTCCTCTGAACTGGGATGATGAAATTCCTCTCTTCCATACTTTTTTCTCCAAGATCATTTGGCAGCTAAGAGTCAATAACAGCAAAGGCTTTCTGCCAAGTGACAGCAGAAGTTGCACTGCTCCAAAAGCAGCTGTCCTCAGGCCAGACCATCACAAAAGGTAAGTTCAGATTTCAGTTTAATGGAAATAGTGGTAACTGGCATTGGACTGAAAACTGCTTATTGAACTCCAGGAACCTGTTGTGATCTAACAGCCTACTGTACTTGTTTATATGCATATCAGAGGGCAGGAAAATAAAAAGCAAATTATTGCATCAAATAGCACTACTCTAGCAACAGGGGGAAAAGAACTGAGTTAAAGCACAGTGGGGAAAACATAATTTGGGTTTGTCCTTTTAAGGGCATTCTCCTGACTTCCTTGGCACATTAATTCTTTAAAACCAAATCTAAATCAATCAGTGGGATGAGCAGAGCAGGAACAGCTGCAGGAAGGATATTATCAGGAGATTAAACAGTAACTCTAGTTTGCCTTAGAAAAAGGCAATACGGTTTCACAGCCATTTCTGACTTTGTTTATGCATGTACATTTGTATGTACATGCATAAACAAAAAAATATTTAGAAAGCAAATATTTTCCTATAGAAAACACAGGAAGCCTAGAACACCAGAATATCAGCAAACTGGAATCACTTACATGTATGGCTGCATTTATGCAACTCTTCCTAAAGCAGCACCTTCCAACTCCAGCTCTCTACCAACACATTTTGGAGGTCACTCAGAAAAGCCTCGAGTAGCTCATGCAGATCCATTAAATTTCAGGCTCATAATTTATAACAGAAAACCAAGCAACTACAGCAATTGTACCAATTTGCAAAGACATTAATTAAGGTACTAACATGCCAACTGCAATGTGCTATTTACACAATAAGCTTAAACTGGCAGGACAGCTGCTAAGGCACCAAGGTTAGCCCAGGGTCCAGATGTGTACCTGATGTGCACCTGAAGGGTGGTCACAAGGTTTGTAACTACCATCCTCTCCAGGAAACTCTCCCTCTCATCATGGGTCAGACCACAAACAAGCCTTCAGCTCCACTCTTAGCTATAAGGCTAAGGACATTAATGTGGCTACAGCCCAGCACTGATGAAACTGGCAATGGCAGCTGCCACTTTCACCAGCAACTCAAACTGCTTGAAGCAGCCTCAGAAATTCAGCAAAAAAAGCTTAGAAAAATCTTAGAACTTACTCTGCTGCAAAGGGCAAATACCACAAAGAAGTATTTGCACATTACATTGCAAAACAAAACAAAAACAAAAAACCCAGCCAGATAAAGGAAGATTGAAAAAGACAGAAATGCAATACAAAATGCAGCCCCAACTTGAGCATTCCAGCAGCAGTCACAGTGCAAAAGGAAACACCCTTGAAAAAGCAAATGGAAACTCACTTGCTAAGCAAGCTCTGCAGTGCTTTGTGCAGATGTTCCTTCATTTCCTGGGACACTTTCTCCCCCAGATGAGCCAGGCAGTCTTCTATTGAGCTCTCTGGATTGGCAGGGCTGAACACTGGGGAAGTGTGGCAGTCAAACCCTGTGGTGGTAAATGCTGAGAGAAGAAGGTACACAAAATCAAACACATTCAACAGTCTCAGAATTCTTATCCCAGCAGTTTACATAAGGGACAAAAAAAAAATCACAGTTCTGTAGTCAAAGCATGCAATGAACAAATCATAGTAAAAAATGTCCAAATGCATTCTGAAAGTGCTACTGACAAGGCAGAGATGACTGAGCTACATTGCCCCACCAGCTCTTGTTTCACAATTGCATCCTAACCAGCAAGTTTGCTGAATGTGCAGCTATTCTCCCATTTTAAGCTGATGCCAACGCTGGTGGAGCAGCAGAAGAGCCTCTTTTCATAGCAAATTGGCCCACACATGGACATCTCTGCAGCAGCACTAGAGTATCATTTTTTAAAATATTATTTTGTTCATATAACCTTTTCCTTCTCAGTTTAAAACTTCTAAGAAAGCTCATATGAAAGAACTTAAACAGCTCCGGAGTGTTTCTATTTCAGATTTCTGATTTGCAACACACATACAAAGCAAAGATGGGTTTGAAATCAGTCCTTGCTGGGAGTCCTATAAAAGCCACATCTACAGGTCAAAGCATACCACAAAAAATAAACCTGGTGGAAGGGAGAAATCTGACAGTTTAAGTCCACACTCCTTGACATATTAGCTCCTGAGGACTTCTGCCATCAAGTGCAGCAGCTTAAGGGCTGCTTACTTTTCATTATTTACAGTAGACTATTAAATGTCATCCAGTTGTTTGCTTTGGCCAGGCTCCACCACTCCAAATGGTAACGTTTAACTATTTTACTCCATGTGGCAATGTGTACAAATCTTGTGGGGGGAGGAGGATAAAGAGATTCAAGGCATTCAAAAATCTCTTTAACTGGAGTACCTGTTACAAATTAACCACCATTACAGTGCATAGAGATTATGGATTGAAACGGGAAAACCTGAAGAGCACCTTCCAAGATTTCTTCATCAAGACGTTTTAGCTCCTCCTCGATTTCTATTTTAATCTTCTCCAAAGCCTCTTTCTCCAGAGCATGTTGTGCCATAGGCTGTTGTTGAGTCCCTGAAAGAAACCAGAGAGATAATTCAAATGTTTTAATTTCATGTTTCAAACAAGGTAGATAATGGAACATGGCACTGAAATATTAAGTACAAAGGAAAGGAATTTGAGGTGAACATTTCATTTCAGACAGCAACAAGTATGATCCCTCCAAAGGACGTACTACAGAAGTTTTATTACACAAACACAGAAACAGATAAACTTCCAGGCCTATTCAAGGTAGAATTGGTGCTTTAAATAAAATTTTAAAACTAAAAAATAAAGAAAGAAAGAAAAAAGAAGAACTGTAAAGCTACAACCAGGATACACAGGAACTTTAAAAGCAACATCTTCAATTTAAGACCAAAAGCAAACCAAGGCACATAAACAATCAGCCATTACACCTAATACATTTATTATCAAACTACACCAAAACAAAGCAGACTGGCATAAGCTTGATTTTTAGCAGCAAAATATAAAATTTATATTGATGCCTGCAAAATCTACAACATTCTCAGAGTAACTAAACTATGCAACGACATCAATGAAGAATCTTGAAACCTGTGAACTGTGCATCATTTCCCTGGCCTTGAGGAGTCCACAGGCCACAATTTAACACTGGGTTCACAAGCAAGACTAGAGGCAAAGGACCTCACAATTGTCAGTCAGTGTTCAATTCTCCTCTCTTAAGCAAGAAATTTAGGAATTTGAAATGGCTACATATCCCCCAAAGTAACATGCCATGGTTTGGGATCACAAATACATTTTCTGTGTGCTGACTCTAGATATTGGTAACAAAAGTTGTTTCAGCCATATCAAGGTTATCAAGGTTATACACACTCCCAGTCATCTTAATCATTATTCTGTACCAAGAGACACAAAACTGTTTCCAAACAAACCTAGTTATTCAGGACTTCTGAATTTCTCACCCTTTCTGCACCTGCACCCAGGGCTACAGTTCTACCCAGACACCCAGACAATGCTCTGCTCTACAGACATTCTTCAGTCAGTAGAAGAAAACAAAAAGGGAAAGGATTTGTATCTGTAATGTTGGTGTCATGTGACTCAATTTCCTCCTCATCACCTTCCCTTCACACCCAGATCTTCAGGTAAGTCCTGTAACAGCCAGGGGAGCTTTCTGGCACATCGTTTTTCACTCCTGTTTTGAAGACACGACATCGTAATTTGTTGGTCTTGTGAATGACAGCTTTGTGGCCTTTGGTTTATTTCTCTGCTCTCTCTGCCTGTTTCCTTTGGTTTATTTCACTTTAAGTGTTGTCTTGCCCTCCCTTTTCTTCCACAATGGACACTTATAAATTTCATAAAGGGGTGTGTGAAAACTATAAAAGCATTTAACACACAAAGATGTGTGGTTAACTTCACACTGGTGAAGTACACTGTGCATTTCCTGTACTTAAAAACCACTAGACAATAAGCTTTCAAGGTCTCCTACAATTGAAAAATATGTTAAAAATCCAGTGTCAATCCACTGAATATGTTAATGCTTAAAAACTCAGCACAAGGATCCCTCTAAACCAATGTATGATTAAATCAGTATAAAATGTTTTAATATATTTCTGTGACCAGTCAGTTTAATTCCATTTGACTTAACCACACATGTTCAGAACAACTTTACTTAGCTTCTTAAATCCCTTCTCAAGTAGCATCTCTGCCAGTCTGAGTAATAAATTCCAGAGAGGAGCAAACTGTTCCTCCTTTTGGTTCATGCCCTGCCAGTCCCTTCTCTGAAGAACTGAACCACTGCTTTGGAGTCAAGTGCAACAAGTGTGAGCAAGTGCCACCCCTTGTGTGAAGCTGCGCTCTCCCTGAGTCTGCAAGGACAGAGGAGCACCCATCCTCACAGGACTAATGTGACAATGATCAGCCATGACAAGCTGTCATACCTGATAAGAAGTCACCCAGAAAATGGAAGAAGAGAAATTCCACTGCTGCCAGTGTACAAAAGAGCTGTTTAGATAATCAGCACTGCACTCCATGGTTTCCATCTCCCAACACCCACCACTTTGCAGCAGCTGCTGATTCTGAGAGCACCTGACTATTCAGTCATGCCAAAACATCAAACCCCACCCCTCCCAGAGCAGTGACTTTGCACTGTTTATTCCCCTCATAAAGAACAGATTCCAGCTTTCTGCATCTCCTGGATATTGACTGCTACAGCAAACACTGCACACAGCAAAGGTTCTAAGTGAGGGGTATCTTTTTCTCAATTATCCAACTTCCAAGTCACAAACAGGTAGAAGAAAACAGTAAAGCCAGCTTATTTGAGATGAGAATATATCTTCATTATCAAATATGCAAATGGTCACACCAGAAATGGTGTTTGTAAGAGACATAATAAGCATTGAATGCTTTCCTGTGCTTAAGAAATGGGTTTGCAACTTCTGGGCTTTTGGTAAACCAACTCTGCAAGGCTCTTCCCAACCCAGAGGCACTCTGTTACATGTTCTTACACAACCAAGTTAGTGCATTCTACTTTCTATTTATGGAATAAATGTTCACTTTGGCACAATTATGTTCCTGTTAAGATGCTGGGTTTCAGGTATCTGGAAGTACCCTAAAAAGTAGAGGAAAATGTGTTCTGAAAGTCCATCAAGCACTGCATTAGGGAGCACCTGACTACCAAATAAATGTAATACTTCAGTAAAACTCCAGAAGCTCAGTAACAATACAATGCTAACCTGTTTGCCAGGTTTGATCCCAGGAGGAGGAGGAATGGGAAGTCATTCATCAGAGATACAGAGTCTGCACATCTCATTCTACAGTGCTCGAGCCAAAATTTCAGCTAACAGGGGACAACAGGGACTATAAGGAGAGATTGAAAAGATGTTATGACTTTTTAGTTCAAGGGAATGAAGGATGATTGGAAAAGAAAGCCACTGATGTCACAGATTGCTCTTGATTTTTTTTTTCTTTCATGCCTGTAATTTTAATTCAGCAATACCTTCATTTTTGAGTTCTCCTAGGTCACTATATTAACTTCTGTCCAGTTGACTTAAAAATTTACTTGCAGCATGACTGCAATATTTCTTTAACACCTCACACTTTTTAAAATATTAAGTAAGACTCTAAAGTTACTGTAAGCACTGGGAAGTGACAAAGATATATAAAATCTCTTTACAAATGTATTTATCTGTTTCCTTTACACATCCATTACACCAGCAAACTCCAGACCATGGACTGCCACACATAGATGTAGCCCTTGATTTAAAAAATGTTTAAAAGAAGTTCTTTATAAACCATAAGATTGCTCAGCTTAAAAGAAACTGAAAAAGTCTAAAATATTAAAAAGAGACAAGATATTGCCAATTAACTTTTTTTTTTTTTTTTTTTTTTTTTTTTTTTTTGTGGGCAGAGAGGAAGCTTAATCAAGTGGGAATTCACACCCCAAAAAGCTCCTTTTCCTTACCTCAATTCAGGGAACAGCTCCCTTATTATGATGAACTGGACTGCTCTGACCTACAATGGGAATCTTTACAGCCCAAACAGCCCAAAAACAACCTAAAAAACTCAGTTTTCTACAAGCCAATATGTGTGGAAACCAGGAAAATGGTCGATCACTAACTCCATACAGCACTTCATATGGTAATTCCAAAAAGACAATAAATGGTCAAAAGGACACTGTGCACCATAATTGGATTAAAGTCCTGTGGATAGCATGCACCTCAGGGAAACTGCAAAACTGTCAAAACCTTGCTCACCTCTTGACTAACCTATAGTCACCATGCAGTAGTGGCACTGACTATAAATCTTTCAGATGCTCTGAAAACTAAGGGATTATTTAAGATTTTTCACTCTGTCAAGAAAAACAGAGAAAACCTACTTTTCTTCACAGTGTTTGCTGCAGCCACAAGCTCATGGGATGGTGTCAAGCAATGGGGAAGGAGATTAAAATAGAGAAATACATTAAAAGTCACTCCTTGATAAAATGTAAAGAAACATTTCTAATACAAATACATTGAATAACAACCCCAAAGTACTTTGACTCACTTAAAAAGTTAGTAATACTAACAACTGCAGCACAGTGGAAGCTTCTGTAATGAGAGTGACTTCAGGGGGGAAAGTGTAGAGATGTGTTCCAATACTTAATTTTTTTCTGTGTCTGAACCAGTACTTATAGGTATGACAAGAGTTCTGCAAAAATACAAAGCATCTCTGCACAATCTAATGAACAGACAACTGAGAGCTTCCACACACTTTAAATACAGGTACTCATCTGTTGCCTCAAACCACACTGACTTCCCCAGGTGATGCTACTCTGTGTTTTATCAATTGATCTGATTTGTTCACCTACCAAAAAGCAACAGAATATACTGCTAATGGATTTTGCTTTAAATCAACTGCAGTGACTGTTATGCAGAATCACTCTTCTGAAAAAACTAATAGGAAAAATCTCTCAAAGCACTGGTCAGTTAAATTTGCTGGATTTACCTCTGGAGACAATGAAATCCATTTACAGAACACTATAGAGCTATGATGTTAAAATATTGGCTTGCCCAGTAAAACTGTCTTTTCTTCAAGAGTCTGGAATACTGTGGATGGCTCTCTCTTCAGTCCCTGTGCTGAAAAGAAGATAGCAAAATAAAAATTTCCAGGTCCTCATCAGGTGTTGATTTAGATCGACCTTATTTGCTTGAAGCCACCAGTGATTTTAGTGCTTGTAAGTGAAGCCATCCTTCTTGCAACAAAATTAAGACCAACCAAGAGATCCAAAAGGAAACACAGCAACATGATTTTCTATATAATTTCTCTGAATTTTCTATTCACTGAATAAAAACCCTCAAAAAACCATCAGTCTTGCAAAGCACATTAGGCCTTCAAACAACAAGAAGTTTTAACTGGAAACCTATTAACCTATCTTAAAGTTTTATTCTTACTTCAGTTTTTGAAACAGAAGGATGTACACCAGAAAAAAAAACTAGTACCAAAAAAAAAAAAAAAGAGGCAGATGATGGTAACAGAGGCAGTTCTGGCAGAGATAGCATAGTACCACTCCTTTTGGGAAGGATCAGTTTTTTGGTTGGGTGTTTTTGGGTGTTTTTGACCCACCAGATACACCTTGTAGATTAACTGGAGTGTTGAAACTTCACTGAAAGCTGGGACACTGTGGTAGGAGGAGACTCAAGGGAAATACAGAAATCCTAACAACACCTAGGGCACCCTTTTTCCTCATCTCCCATGTGTGGTACACATGCAGTGCAAAGGCAGAAGATCCTCCAGTGGTGACACAAGTTGGCTGGAACTGGGATCCTGCCCTGAACTGCCCTCTAGAGGAGTCCCTCACTCTCCCTGTCAGGCAGACAAGGAGCTTCACTCCACCAGGGCAAGCTAAAACTTGTCTTCCTGGATACTCCCCTTACACTGAATATCATTCAGAAAACTTACCAGGAGTACAGTCTTATTTGGATCTAAGAAAAATAAATGAAGAGAAAGTACTGCAAACCTTAGTCAAGGCCTCATATGGATGAAACACAAAATACAGGAGTTTGTTCTGCCAGTGGAAAGGAAACAGGCAATAGGTAAAATTGCTGCTTCATTGCTTCCCATGGAAGGTCTGTCAGCAAAATAACCAAACCAAAGCAAAATAAGATTAAAGACAGGTGTTTTTTATTGGAATCCTCTCAATTCACAAATCAATGGTGTTCAGCCATAGAGTAGAAAGACTCCTGACCAGCATTTTGAAGTGCCACACAAATCTACAATGGAAGGAATTTGAGCTCACTCAAGGTGCTGTATCAACAACTGGTGGTGCTGCTTGGAAAACACACTGACAAGCAGGAATGCTGTGCTGCTGTTACCCCTCCTGTGCCTGTCACCAAACCCAGAAGTCTCCTGCTCAAGACAGGATTCCAGACAGCAACAGCTCATTTCCATTTCCCAGCTTTCCCATCTCTCATTCTCACCAGGTTTCCCAGCTCGCAGTGGGACAGTAACACCCAGGCACACCTCCCAGCAGTGCATTAGGCAGGGCAGGAAATATCCATTATGGGCTGGGCTCCCCTCCTGGGGGATTGCAGATTACTGCAAGCAGGCATCAGCCACGTGCCAAACAGCAAGGAGATGCACACTGGGTATGTAACTGCTCAATAGCCAATGGAGATTGAACAGCACTCTGAAATATCCACACAAAACCCAGCAGTGCAGCTCAAACACTGCTTAATTACAAGCAAGGTGAGCAAAAGTAGGAGAAAGGATTTTTAAAATGTAGCTAGCAGACAAAAGAAACCTCTCAGAAGCATGGAAGGCAGAAAACCAACACCAGGAAAAGTGAGTTAGGAAAGAATTAAACAAATCCTGAAGCAGAAGGATAAAGCATTTGCTTAGTTCAATACAGCCTGAAGTCCATTCAAAGCACTACAAAACAGAGTGAGAAACAAGTTGGCAAATTAAAAGTAAGGCAAAATTATTTAATCCAAAGGCTTTGACCAGAAAGCAGCAAAACCACTGAAAGACAGACCTAATTAAAGTGAAACATGACCAGGAGAGGAGACATTGTGGTCAATGTCTGGGGTGGGGAATGAGGTGGGGAAAATGTAGGAAGATTTCCTCTTTAGAAGTTGTAAAGTATGAATGCTTTAGAGCATTTTACTAGCAAGTCCAACTACGGACTGCTGTGACACAAGCTAACACATCTAAACAATATTCAAAAAGTAAAGTCCTCTTAAGTCACTACAAAATTTTCATTTAAGAATTTGTAGCTTCCTCTTTAGAAAGTTTAAATATACCTCTGTAATTCAGATTAGAAGCTCAGAGGTTCCAGTAATGAGAATGATTCTGAAAATAAAAGGTTTCAACTCAATTTGCAAATACTTCAAAGGTAACTACAGCCAAATCATTTTTAAAAAGCTTTAATACTAGCCTTTTCCCTTCTGAATCTTCTATTTCTAGAACAAAGCAGACTCTTACACATTGAACCTTTATATGTACCAAATACATTTCCAGTTACAGCCCAGTTATAAATGGGTGGGATGTTCAGAATGAGATGTTACTGCTAAAATAAGCACATTTTCCAACAAAGGGCTTTATGAAACAGCTAAGGTGCCTCTCCTTTCATGGACCACAGAAGAAGACAAAGTCGAAGTAGCAAACATACCTTAAATACACAAAGGTATTTATTAATTACAGTTTATGAATTACAAAACATTAATTTCATGAATTATATATAATATAACTAGCATGTGCTATGTGATTTAGTACCAAACAGAAAAGCAGTTCTGTCATAACCTTGTTGCAGTCTTTTCAGGAATTTCTCACTTGATGACAGGTAAGTTCAGTAAATGACAGCATATGCATTCTTAAATGATTGTTCAAAGAAAACAAAGATTCTGAAGACTGTCTCTGTTTGGCTTGGGTTTTTTTAAAGTCTCCTTTCATCAGAATAACAGAACTAGTAGTGACTAAAACATCATTAAGAAGTGACAAGTCACCCAGGCAATCCTGACAAACAACATTGCTTAAGTGCTTGCCACCACAAAATAAAGAACAGTTTTACCTCCTAGGTTTATGTGAAACACAAACTACCAAACTTCTTTTATTCTGCCTTCTATTTATTTATTTAACCTCTTTTATCCATAAACCTGTCCTGGAAGAAAAATCTGACTCTGTGCAGCCCTTGACTTCTCATAAATAAAGAAATAAATAAATAAACAGAAGTAGCATAGGCCACATCTCTGCACCAGCACTGACTGACAACAACAGCAGCCTCAGTGTAATAGGCCAAAACTATTTAGCACAGGAGATTGCCCAAGACACCACTCAGTTTATGCCAGTAAACATCACCTCACCCCTGCTCACCTACTTCCACTTGTGTCCCAAAAAAATAGCAAGCATGGGCTGAAATTCTCAGGATGGCTCAACAAAGGTTAACATATATCCATCCAAAGATAATATATATCCTAGCCTCAAGACAGCAACTAAAACCACTTACTTGCTTCCTAAACACCAGTCAGCCCTGGCATAGCTCAAATTAAAACAGTAATCTACACACAAACAGATTTGTTTCCATCAGCACCTCTCATCTTTCAGTTGAAATAAACCAAGAGATTCATTACACCGAATCAGCCTCACACTCTGCACCCCTGCAGAAACCCCCCAAGAACAAACTGCAAGCCCAGCTGCACACGTAAACGGCTAGAGATGAACATGCAAATATTACCTTGAGTTGGAGGAGGAGGAGGAGGAGGATGCTCCTGTGGCTTCTCCTGTGCTAGAAGGCCCAGGTAGCTGAGCACTACGTATTTGGTTTCATAGTGAAATCCTACAGGCACGGCAGTGGCGGACGCCATCGGGATGGCTGTGCTGCGCTCTGGGGAGCCGGGAAGGCTGTCAGGGAACACAAAAGGCTTTGTTTGTTTGTTTGTAAGGCTGCAACAGGTCCTGAAGGCACACGTAACAAGGAATTATGTAACAATCCTGAAGCAACGTCCAGGTTTTTGCCCTGATAGCCTATGCATTCTTGTTTTAATGAGAACCATGCGGGGTAAGCCCAGCTGTGCCCCAGTGCAGCTCCTGCCTGCTGCCAGCAGTGGCATTTCTCACTCCTGTCTCCCATGCAGGCAAAACCAGCAGTCCCTCAGCGCAGGTTTTTGTGAAGCTGGTGTGGCTGCAGAGATTTATTTGGGCTATCCATTGCCCCAAAACAGAATTATCAAAAATTGTTCCTTGTAAAAAATGTATATATGATATAGAAGAATTTTCATTATGACACTAAAGGTGCTTCTATTTTCTGATTTTTTTTTCCTTTTAAATAATCTGGACTCTTGAGTCTATTATATCATTTACATGAAAAAGCTGCATGTAGAATTAGAATTATCCTGAGCTTACAATTACCTTGGGTCGTGGACTAATAAAAAAGTGCACCTTTTGCCCCCACAAATGTGTTTAGAAGGTTGACCCTCAATTCTACAAGCATCTCAGTAGTCCAAGTCACAAACTTGAAAAGGACAGAAGTTGTTAAAGACCAGGCAAGTGTCTTTCTGTTAGCTGAAATTGTGTTTTAATTGGTTATATTTGCAGGACTGCTAAACTTAAGAGTGGCCATCCTCTAGTCTCTGAAGAGTCTAGCTCTTCATTTCATTGACTAAAATGCTCACCCATTGTTTGGTGATTCTGTTTAAACACATTGCTCAGAGATGTACTGATGCTTTTTCAATGGCAGTAGGTTTCACAGTTAATTTTTCCCAATATTTGTGGCATTTAATTAATTTTGATGAAGTTCTCTATTAGATTTTGAGTTTACACCTCGAGCTGAAAGTGTAGTCCAAAAACAGGATGAAGCAAGCCTCAACAGGGTGGAGGGAAATTGCCAACTGGCACGGGTCAGTTTTCCACAGCCTTTCTTAATTCCTTGCTGTTACAAGAACAAAACAGCTGGAGTACACCCCACAGAAAATAAATCCCATGCTTGGAAGTCTAAGTCAGGGCTCAGAGCCTATGGATTTTTATGGAAGTTAGAAAGAGACCAATAGTCTCATGTTTTGAGAGATTCTGAACATTTCCTTAACCACAACATGAGGTGAAAAGGCAGGTTCTGAGGAGTTTCCCTTTCCCAAAGCTTCCCATTAATATTTCTCTGCTTTCAGATTTGCTACTGTGATGCTCAAAAATTGTAAAACACAAAAAGTGACCAAAATTGCCTCAAATTAATTTTGCTGTTCCAACAGCAATGGAAAACATTGGGTCAACAGAGTAAATTCCACATTCATTGTAGGGATTGGAGGAACAGATGGCTGTTGGTCCTGGATTTCTCACCCAGACATTATTAAGGATAAACCAGAAATCCACACCTAACAGCAACATCTGGCCAAAGAAGTCCTCCCTGTTTCACTCTAATTGTTTTGTTGCTTTTTTTCAAATATCCAAATAAGACCTGCAGGAAAAACTAAGGTAGAGAGAAATTAAAAGCAACACGGTAAAAAGTAAAATCTCAAACAACAACATAAAAGTGGGGAAAAAGCCATGCAAGAGATGAAAAGGATGTTTAAGATTAATCAACAGGTTTCAGCAATTTTTGTTTGGCCAAGTCTGGATAACTACTTCCAGAATGCTGTCAACTTAATGGATCAAATAACACTATCCAGGGGTTTCTGACAAACTCTTCAAGGTAAGTTCTCCAGGACTTCAAAGACTCATTCCCAAACAAGCAGTAGCCCACTCTTGGCCACCAGAATGGATGTGTAAATGAAAAGCACACAAGGAAGATTGTGCTACAGAACAGCTGCTGAACAGGCACTGAAAGAGCCAGATAATTTAGTAATGTGAGACACAGTTATACTTAGAAGAAATTTTTTTATCAAATTTAAAGTTTAAAGTGGTTAGAATGCGCAAAATGCTAAATACAAGGAAGAGAAATTGGACCCTCTCAAGAGAATTATGGATTGCACTGGAAATGCCTTAGGACTAAAAGAAAGAATCAGGTTCCAAAATCAAAGAACAATCTGCAAATGAAGCCTCAAGATTAATAATAATAATAGTAATAATAATAATAATAATAATCCAAGAAAGCAAAAGAAAAGCACTTGCCTGTCTAGCTGTTCAAGATGCCTGGGCTAACTTCTAATCCCTCCTCCCTGAGAAGGAATTCAGATTAACAGCAGTTGTACACTGGTTACTGAGGATAAAAAGAACTAGAACTGTGCTGTGGCATGGTTGTTGTGGGAAAAGAAAAATTTACCACAAACTAAAAGCTGCAAAAGGAAAAGAACTGGTGTAAAATTGGCTGACTATTCTCTTTAGAAACTCTACTTTCTGAAACTCATTCAGTACTGAAAACAGAAAAGGGCTCTCTGTTGAAGACCATACCATGGCAGCCCTGCCTCTTGCTCCATGTATTTAAAAATGCCTGAAAGCCTTTACCAGAAAGGCTGGATTGTGTCTTTGCTACAGCTCGAACCAAAGTAGCAAATCATATACAAAGGAAACAAACTCGGAGTCAACACTTTGTCTGTGCTGCCTCTTCCATCCCACAGTGCTCCACAGGCAACAGATCCTGCTTCAGAAAGCGAAGAAATCACAGCAGAGAAGAACCACAGCTTTTGCAAGTTAGCCTTGAGCCTCTTCCAAAACTGAGATTTTTATAGAGCAAGAGGATCTGGGAAAAAAAAAATAAGTGCTCTGAAGACTTTAGTGTCCTTTAACAATAGATCTGCTCTTCAGACCACATGCAGTCACCACATCACATGTTGACATCACCAGGTGGGAAAGGTGCCATTCCCCAAAAAGCAAAAGCTCCCCAGCATGTTTCAGTTCTGGTTTGTTCAGTAGAGATCCACAGCCCTGAAATCAAAATGCTTCTCACAATGCCTACACAGTGAATGGGAGCCCTTCCAGACAACCTGATCTCTCCTGAAAAAAATCAGCCTGACAGATGGCCCAGAGACATCCAGAAACTGTGCTGTGGACCAAAGAACAAGTCTGGATATACAATAGAGATTAGTCTTCAAAATATAATTCCAAAACAGTGCATAAAATGAAATTTAAAAAGTTGATCAAAACAAGCATGATATGCAAAGCAGCACAGCGCAACAGGGAGGCCTAATTCACAAAAATTACAGCTCAGCACTTCTGAGGGGAGGAGGGGAAATAAAAACAGAGAGAGAGGGAGAATGAGACCACTGCTTATTTAAAGAGTGGCTAATGTTTCCCTGGGGAAAGAATGATTAAAAAAAATTACCTTGGTGGATATATTTTGAGAGGCAGTTTTACAATGAAATGAGAAAGGAGACTTAAGAACTTGAATGGAAGAAATCTTCAAATTCACATAAAAGAATGTCATGAGTGGAAGTGGACTTCAGAATCACTGGTCTTCCTTTGAGAGAAGCCCACAGCACAGTAACTGACTGACTCGTTTAGGATTGAGAATGACTGGTTTTGTTTACAAAGACAAACACAGAAATATTGACTCAGATCCTGTAAATATCTCAGAAAAGGCCATTTTTCAGGAATGAGGGGGATTGAAAAAGGACACACAGCTTGAGAGACCAGATCAGAGGAAAGAGAGCTCTCCACTAAAGGTGCAAAATGGAAGAGAGTGCAGAAAGTGTTTAAAATGATAAGGTTGTACAGGAGATGCAATGGAGCAGAGGAGATAAGGCGTTATACAGACTCCCTAAGTCTCAAAGCCAGGGCAAGAGGGCTGCTTCAGGTTTAACAAGGTCTCTGTAGGAATACTGTCCTTAAAAAACTAGAGATCACCATTATTACCAATTACTGACTACAAAAAAAAAATCCCCTTTCCCAGTTCCTGCACCCTTGGGGGATAGAAGGCTATACCTGTTGAAGCTTACTTAGCTCGTCACTCCTCCGGCCCTGCTGTCACTTGTTTCATGTGGGCTGAGCTGCTCAAGCGACCTGAGAGCAGGAGTTGCAGTAGGACTGACATTTCCCCATCTGTCACGTCCTAATCCACGGCAGAGTTATAAATTGGATAATGGGCAGCACAAGCCTACCAATGAATACAGCGAATATAATCCCCAGCGATGAGGCCAGGCTGTGTTTCAGTCCCTATCTGTAAAACCCCACTGTGCATCAAGATGTGTTTACTGTGCATCATTCAGACCTCAAAATGCAACATCACTGCTCTACTGCCCGGAGCAGTTCAGCTGGTTTTTACAAGCAAAACCGTAGGCGACCAACATCACCTACGGATTTCAGAAACATCAGCGCTGCCCGAGCTTTTCCCAAACAGCAGCACCACGGCCCTCAGCTTCCACTCCAACATGGAATCACTCCAGAGCTGGATGCATTCCCCAGCTAGAGCCCAGCCACCCTGCGAGCTGCCGTGGCAGAACACCTCCTGCTGCTGCTGGGTTATTGCAGCGCACACGCGGCCCCGGCCAGCGAGCGCTCAGCCGAGCACAGAGGCAGCACCATGGCAGCACCGCGGCTCAGATCATTTTTGGGGCCTCCTGACCTCGATATGCTCACGGTTTGGGTCGTCTTCCTGACATCAATCTCTGCAACAGGCAGCCACGCTCAGCTCAGCTGCATCTACAGCCTCGGGTTTGCACGGCGCCCTTGACCAAATGTGACGGATTCCAAGGAGTTGCAGGTCTACAAAGCCACACCCCGTATCAACAAGATGGAAAATATTCAGGCACTCTGCAGCCTTCCAGAAGGCTTGTGCGGGGATTTTAGGTGAGCCTTGCATGTGTGGACTAGTTAAACCTTGCAGCAGTTTGTCTCTGAAAACACTTCCCATAACAGGCAGGACCATCCAAAGCATCCAGCTGTGATCAACTTGGGAGATAAATTCTCCCGAGTACTTTTCCAACTGTGTATGAGGGTATGACTAAGAGATTGTTTATAATAAACTGAGAACTACTCAGTTCAAACATGTCAGTTCCTACTGGAAATGAATCAATACTGCAGCCACTACTGATCCTCTGGTGGCACTTAATGGATAGAAATAATGGAAAACATAATTGTTCTTTATCTGGACAGTGGCTGTAGCTGACCTTTGACAGAAATGCGATTAGGTGAGCATTCTAGGCAAACGGGGTGCTTTCTCTTCTAGGAAGAAAAACCAAGGCTGCACGCGTTATCCACTACAAAGATCCTCAATCCTTTGCAGCTCCAAACCATCTCACCACAACACTACATTACGACAGCTTTTATTAACGAGCTCCCATTCACTTTCTGTCTTAACGCGCCTGTTTGGGTTCGAGGAGCCGAAAAAAGCCGTTCCAAGTTTCAGCCGCGCCGGAGCCGCCGGCGGCAGCGCAGCGTGAGCCCCTCAGTTACTACGGCGATGAATGAGATATTTATACCCGGGCGGGCGGGCGCGGCGTCGGGATGACTCACCGGCGGGGCCGTGCGGCCCCTGCAGCGGGGGAGCCGCCGGCTCTCCGCCGCCGACGGGTGCCTGCCACGGCCCCTTGGCCGCCGGTCCGGGGGTGTCCCGGGGGTGTCCCGGTCGGAGCGGGGTCCGCGCGTCCTTCGGCGGGGGCGGCACCGGCCGCCCCCACCCCTCACGGACGGGGGTGCGCGCGCGGGGCCGCCGGTCCCCGCTCACCCCACCCCCGCTCTTAAATTAAATAAGTAAATGCAGACAGACAGATAGGGGAAGAAATAAATAAACAAAACAAGACAAGCAGCCCGCCCGCTCCCACGCCCGCTCCCTCACCTGCGGAGGCCGCGGGGAGGAACTGGAGGTGGAGGAGCGGCCACAGCTCCCGG